TAAATTTATCGCTAACTAAAAATGCGTATTTGAAAAACGTTTGTCCTACAAAATGTAAAAAATGTACTAGTTAGCCCTGACTTTTCATTTGAACTCTCTAAAATGTCTCTCGAAAACAATGCTTATTCAACAATCGGATTATTTATCAATTTGGAAATTGGAACCCAATAGAAGATAAGGCTCCTCTTAAACAAACATAGTGATTGTTTTACATTCTACTTTATATCGAGTTACCGTAAAAGCCTCGAAACTGATACGCAGTGTTTTAGTCTACTTCAAACCATTTCGGCGGTAGGACTATACGTTACGAGTGTACAGTATACTAGGCACTCGTGACCCACCTTTTCTAGGTACCGTATCGTTAATAACAATAGTAGAAATGTTTGTTACTATTACTGAGAACTTATATATCTTATATCCTTTCTGGTGTTTACTTGCTGGAAAGACCTTATGTTTTGAATTCAAAATTTTCTTTTCTATTTATTTTATATTAAATTTTATCGTTATATACAATAAATAATATCCCACGTCGGGCTTATACTTAGGCCGCAGGCAGCCTGCAGTCTACGGAGACATCGAGACTTTCACCAGAACTATCAATGATGTTAAAATTCCTACTTTTAATACTAAAACTGTAATTACATACCTGTGTTACATTGAGGACCTTACACCCACTGAATATAAGCTTTCTTATCTCATTTAGCCTCCAGTACTTTCTCTAATCTAGATTTATAGATATTTAATCTATACTACAAGAAATCGCCATTTTACGTAAGCATTTTTGGTTTTATGTGGCCCGCAAGTACATATTAAGCATTACATTGATATATTAGTGGTTCATGTGTAAGTACAATGACGTCATAACAATGTCGAGAAATCAGGAAAATACTCATTAATTTAGACAAGGAGTTTTGAAACTTAACTGTTTAGTCGATTGATCGGTGCGAAAACAGGTCGTAAAACTGTTCATGAAATTTCCACTTCAATTTCGTGCATCGATAAAATATAATAAGTCAATCTGTAATTGCGTATCAGACCCTGGCAGCTGGCATTCTTTATCTAGCAGTACTCCGGCGTGAAAAAATTGAGAACCCAATTCTCCATGTCAAGTCTTGGCTGTTTCTCGGAATACGAACGCTGCATTTCTAAGTATACCGAATAATGTAATGAAACTTCCTGCATTCAACTAATATTCGAAGTGTTGCCGGAACGAATTACTGTTTGATAGGATCATTGGATTTTCCATCTTTATTTTAATTTGCAACGCTTCAATGAGCGGCATATTAGTGGACCCGGTGATCCGTGTCGACGACGAAGACTTATTTCGTCCGGTGGCTTTGCTTAGATTTGCGATGTTGCGACTTGCGAAATCAGTGACATTTAAATTATTCTATTTTTTTTTAAGTGCAAGTTTCTATATACGGTACAAAAAATATATAAATAACTGTTGAGCTTTGCTCTTCAAAATTATGTATTAAGGCTATATAAAAAATATAAATAAGCTCACAGATTCTAAAATGCAATGGTCACGTTTAACGTTCAATTATCGTCAGTTTTCGTTTTTGAATCACAGAAAAAGCTATTAAAACCGATTCTCTTTGTATTAATTTCGTTGTTCCCCGATGGACCCTCGAGTGCATTCACCGTAGATAGGCTTTGCATGGCCGTTGCGCCCGCGCAGGTATTTCCGGAGCGTCGGGGGGAGGGGGGCGGGCACAGTCGTGGGAGCTCGGCTTAGGAATGTCGAACGTACTGCCTCAACTATGCGGCTAACGGCTTAGATACTCGATTGAACGAAATGTGGAATTTGCAACCGTTTGCGGTTGTACTTTTGAGTGATAACGAGCTTTTCATTTGCCAACCAGAAATGTGGTCACGGTGACTTCAGTCCGCGTGAGATTTTCTCGGCTGTCCTGTTACTCTAACCTTTTCGTGCGTCTGCATACATACACTTAAATTATATAAAATTAATTCATTTTATTTAATGAGTTAATTTATTTTTACCCATTTGTTATCTTCATATCTCAGTATAATCTATAAAATTCTGCGACAATTTTATCGCCTCATTTTAATAGCATATAATTATATTAGTAATATAAATAAATATTTTATATTTCTTCCGCGTATCCGGTTTTTATGTAGGCACTAACTGTGTCAGCGACTTCGTCCGCGTTAATACTTATTTCGTCAAAATGTTTGTAAAGCTTCTTCTCTTCTCTTCTCCATCTTTATAAATTTTAGCAGTAACCCACGACGTCGGTCGCGTCCCGTCTTTCTTGTAAGTTAATCTCATAAGGTAGTAAGATAGGTATACTGTCGCGGATATTTTTTTAGATCATTTGTAAAGGAATAATTCTTTTATACATATTTTGGGTATTTTGTACCGTTTTTGCAGATCACGCAACGAAAACACCATGTTTCCCACTGCTTAGGCGCTCCTATTGTCGCATCAAGATATTTTATAGCCTAAAGCCTTAATGAATGTTCTAACCAACACAAAAAGAATTTTCAATTCGAACTTGTAGTTCCTGAGATTAGCGCGTTCAAACAAACACACAATATCTTCAGCTTTATAATATTACTATAGATGGATTTTGGTTATCTATATGATATACGTAATATGTGTTATTAGTTTATGACACGCATTTAATATTACATCGTTATTATGAGTGTGTCGTTTATTGTTTTCGGAGCGATTCTCCCAAATATCACATGACGATTTCTTATTAATGATGTCTAGTTTTTCTCCAGCCGTAAGACGCGGCGGGTATTGTGTGTCAATCCGATGACACGTAGCGGCCCGTTTCATGTGTCATTCGACACTTTCTGCAAATTTCATTGCCGAGTCATTCTCCCCGTCGTCTACAAGCCAAGAGGGGGGCAATTCTCCAAAAAGTAACCTACGGTTTTACCCAATCGACCAAAGCAGAAAAAATTACTCGGCTTATGCTTTCGCCCTCACATTCAACATTAGTTTACGGTCGATGCGTTGGACCCAAAAGAAGTTTTGACGGGTTTGTTGGTGCTATAGTTGCAATGTAAAGCTAATAAATAACATGGTAAGAAACGTGTTGGATATTAAATGGGTGGTAGACCCTAAAATAAAAAAGCTCCGGAGTTGACGCGCGTTTCGGTTTCATTATGTGGACCAGTGCATCTTGTTTAGATGTTATAGGGCTTGATGGTAGGTGAAACACTACCATCGTGCTTGTCTGTCCTCCTCTGACATGTTCCAAAAAGTATGTTAAGCAAACGTGGCTACGTTAAGCAAGTGTTGCTATTCTGAATTGTAATAGAATCCTTTTTTCCGGAAATGAAATCAGTAGTTTTACAATGACTTTCGGATCTCCGGCAGTTATAATTTACAATACGGTGTTTACCACATTCTTCTGTATTGTAAATTCCTTACCATAAAATTACAAAATAACATCGGGGCAATTAAAACCAACGATGTACTTAATTGTGGTTTTTACAACAATTGCAACATTCTCTCTCATTGGGTGTGTATCGTTTACACAATTTGTTTTTTATGAATTTTGTTCGCCGGCCATTCAGAGTTCCACAAAATGGCGGAATTCGCAAAACCGCATTATGTACAAATTAGAAACGGAAGTGTAAGTGCACAGAAATTACCGTTTTATCTTTGTAATGTAAATGTACGATTAAAAATATAGTTCTCATTTAAGCTATAGTGCTCCTAAAGTTCTTATGGCAAGAGGAGGATACGAGGAAAGGTGAAATACGACAGTCAGACAGATGTCGTCTTTCTACAGTACACTTTGTTAAATTTATTTTTAAGTGTTGCCTATATTCTACGTAAATAAGTAAATCACTTTTAACATTTGGAATCGCAAAATATAATAGTTAACCGCTAATATAATTTCTAATCAATATATCGACTGGTTTGATTTTCTGGCCTTTTAAAATAAATTAACTTCTAGATGATTTTATATATAAATACAGGTACTAAAATTACTTTTCTTTCGACAACCACGAATTGGTTCAAGAGAGACGCCGTCTCCAGCCCCACAGCGTGAAGCGAATATAAATTAGATCGGTCATTCGAAGCTAATGAACAATAAGTGCTATTTGATCAGATAATTACTCGTAAAGATTGTCGGCAGATGTCAGCGCACCTGCCCTCCAAGATTTATGGCCGATTAACCTTTCTATATGTTTAGCGTGCGGCTCTCCTCATTACTTTACTGTAATTGCTAAACGTTCATTGCAAATTGCCCTTCTTATCCGTAAATTCTTTCTAAATACTAATGTGTTGTTGCTTCGAAGAACGGATGAATTACCAGCGCTAACACAAATGCTGTCTTGTACTCTCAAAAGACTGAGTATGTACTTATATATTTATACATATATACTATTTTGACAACGAATGAAAAACCTTAGAGAAACTCTCAAAGTTTTGCTCGATAAAATTCGTTTCAACCCTTTAGGGAAAGGAAAAACTGACGATAGATAATCTCAAAGATTTTCTCTAAACGAATTTCAACTTCAGAGCACTTAGTTTAAAACATCGCTTTGATAGATGTGGAAGAGATATATATTTGGAAAACAGATGTAGAAAAAAGTATCGATATGCTGTTGTTAAACCGTCGGATTGTACTGAGACGTATTTTGACTTAAGTTTGAAAAGACAAAAGAATATTTTTTAATGATAGAGGAGGACAGACTAGTATGTGGTCCAATCGTTGAGATGAAATATCCCAACCACATAACATCTCAACAAGATTGAATTTATGAATGTTTCTATTGTTTATTGTTATATTTGTCTTTTGCCACTGGTGACTTAAACTTTTCTTATCTGTACTGGCGGTATTATGTTAAATAAATGAAATAAAATAAATTTTAAGAACTTTGGGATAATTTGTATTACTTTAATAAGTAATATAAGTTGCGCATCGCGACTTAGCTTAATTTGCGCAGCTTATTTAGTTTATTTTTTACATGTTGCAAACGACGTTTCCGCGTGAAATAAGAGCTGCTTATCATTGCGAATCGATTGCCACTCTGCCATCCGATGAAACCGATGCCAGAACATTGCCTGCTCCGGCGCCATAACCTAACGCCAAAACAAACACATTCTCTCTGACACTAATTATCCCTACGAATATGACGGTTACTTTTTGCCTCTTCCTTAAAAAAGTTCTTAGGACTCGGATGAAGCATATATATTCTTGCAACGCATTAGTTCCGTCCACCAGACACGCCATTTTTGTTTACAAAAAAAGATTTTTTATTTTAGTGTATTCAAATAAATTGCAGAATTTAGAAGTAACCATTCCAATTAACACGCTGTACTGTGAAATACAAATTATAAAATAATTTTCATTGAAATTGTGTAATAAAAATGTGTACATAGTGTGGAGTTTTTCCTAGGACACTATTGAGAAAATAGATATTGCACATTTTTTACCGCTGTATAACATAGAAAACTTTAGCCGACGAGATTGGGTAAAAAATGGACAGTCGAATCGGCGGAATTATGGCGACACACTAAGCTCACAAAAAGTATCATATTTAAAACGTACTTGTGACAACTATTGGACCGTGAGAAGACAATAATATTAGAATCTAATCTCGGGCGGTTCGCTCCGCACCAGCGGTGACTCGACGCGTTTTGTGCCTCGGCGTGCCTCGGAGGTAACCACGCGTGAACTAGTGAGTACTAACACTCGTCGGGGTAGCTAACGCTGCGATTGGTCGTCGGCGCTTGGCAGGCGAGGGCAAAATGTGGCCTTCCTTCTTCGGTACGATTTGACACTTCATGGGGTATTTGTATAGCGAGGTCTACGCCAGCCAAATTTTTCCGACACATATTTTTTATAAAATAAACGTGGAAATAGTACGTTAGTAAGATGCTGTCATGAGGCACACAATTTTATTGGATAAAAGAAGTTGTTGCGAGCGTTTTATCTTTTTGTAAGTTTGTTTTTGATATTACAAAGAGTGTCTAGTAAATTGAGCTTTGAAGTTTCAACGAGTCGGACAGGTATTACTTACAGTTAAAAAACTACGGAATATTTGAACATCGATTATAAATTGGCGCAAAATGAAACAAAGTGGGTACATCCACAGAGCTATTAACCTCAACCGCTTAGGTATATATTGCCGGCGCGTGTCGCACACTTGATTTAATATTTATTATTTACTCTATATTTAACTATTATATATGGTTAAGCATTTGCTTAAACCATTTGAGTCAGTATTGCCTTGTAATAAGATTGCCTTTTCTATAGACAAAGCTTTCTTGGATCTTACTACGTTGTCTTTATCACTATTAGTACTTCGTGTTACTTATCCCATAAAAGAGTAGATAAAATTTAATATTCAGTACAATTTTGGTCGGAGTACTAATTCAGGCAGAAGTTTCGAAAACAAATTTGTGCTGTTCTACAAGTTTATATAGAAATATTAGTTTATATGCATAAATAAAAATAATTAGAAAAAACAAAAGCACCTGAGGTTTAGTATTTACGTAGCACGTACTTATCTAGATAATATTGCAGGCTAATATTTACCCACTCGCCGGCCTGATGTATTTTATCATCTAGACGTAAAGTGCTGCAAATATTTAGTATAACAATAACAACCAATAGATAAGGGTGAATATATGCTATTTGAATTTTTGTGTGCCAGAAGGACATTTGGTCTGTTTCATACAATATTTATAATTTATGTATTTTACACTATTTTAAAATTTTATTAAGTTTTATACGTGTCAGAGGAAAACGCGTTGCCAGAGAACTGACACCGTTCATACAGTAGTATCAAATTAAACTAGGAATGTGAAACAACATTGATTATTATTAACTAAGCAAGGGATTTGATATGACAGGTTTAGATGAGCCCACATTACAGGGACATTGTGGTGACTTGTGACTCATTTCGTTTCTCCCTTGGTATACAAAACCAAAATATGCAAACTATTTTGTGTTCGTGACCCCACCAAAATAGAATGATTACACTTCTGAAGAATATTTTGTATTATAATTTCCTGAAAAGTCCTTTAAATCACAGCATTTTAAGTTACCGTTGCCTAAATTGTTTGATATTGACGGACTATATTTGCTCCATACTCCTTGAAGCTCCATCGCTTTTTCTTTTGGAGTAAAATCTAATATGGTTATGGTCTATCTATATTCAAATTCTGCGTTTTTTCTTTTCAGTTTTTGAAAGCGAAAATGTTTTCTTCAATACATTGTTATGGAAAATATTTAGTGAAAACAGAATTATCGAACTCATAATAATATGTGTCTTTTGCAGTTAAGACATTCAGGCATAAAACAATGTTCATTGTATTGTATTGGTCAATACATCAATAATAATTCATTGATAGCTTGGAAAACTTATGATGTTTATCTGATTTAGGGAAGCCAAAATTATGGATGTTTGGAGATCCAAAATAGCTATAGGCGACAAAAAGCGTGAAACTTAAGTTCATACTTTTGACTGACTTAAATTGAAGTGATCTTATTATATTATAGAGTATTGACTCTCTTCTTTGTTCTTAGGAATATCATGTATGCTCTTAATTTGTTCCTATTCTTTTATCTTTTATATTGTCTTTCTTATTTTAACCAAGCTTTTTACGAACGACGATTAAACACTTTAATATTTCCGTAACGTAATATTTCTAACTTAGCACTTTTTTGTAATCTCTTCTCCCTTGTTTGCTTTTTTTTTAAATTACCATGATGTCTGACTATGTTACTATTTCTAGAACAAATTAAATTAAACCTTAACATATTGAATATCGAACAAAACGTAATTTCGTTAAAAAGTTAATTTATTTTATATGAATAGTTTTTGTATACAGTTTATTTTGATAAAATATGTTGCATTGTTTATAATAGCATACGATCATTAAGAAATAAAACCTAATTGAATACGTTTTAACATTATTTTTTACATAAAACCATTAAGTATAATCCATTAATGGGAAGGCCAGAGGACTATATATTTCTAACGTTTTTAAATCAAAAATTCCATAAATAAACTAATTATCATACCAAGATTTTGTGTCCCAGTTAAAGGCAATATTATTTATTATTTAAGCATTGAGAAACAAAAATATAATAATTTTAACATGTGTTTTTTCCATGGACCATTGGAATCCAAATAGCATATATTGACCCATAAAACATTTTGCAGTCTAGGTCTAATAAAGTCTTACAAGGAAATAATTCACGCACGATCGGTGTTTAATCTCGTCTAGATATGAATTACGGAATTCATTAAAGTTAGCCAAACTCGGCAGTGTTAATTTTGAACGCGAAGGGGCCATTTCCAATGATAATAATGTAATATAAAATACATTTTCACCGAAGGGCGGACGGCGTCGCGTGGCGTCGGCGTCGCGGGGGTGGCGCAGAGTTCGATGCCCGGACTACCCTAGCCTTGCCTAGGTCGTGAATTGTGCAAGAGATGCTGACGTCATCGCCGGCTCTAGCTCGCGGAACGCTCTATAGAAACCACGAATCACTCTCCTTTGTGGACATGGCTTCATGATTTATGTCCTCATTTGTTTGACCTTACTTTTGCGTGTATATTATAGAGCGTTATAATTCTTAGGAGCTTAACGATTTTTTATCTCGCAAAAAAGATTAAGAACCAATAAACCATTACTTACGTTACTAGAGTATAACAAAAGTGGAAAACATTATATCTTTAAAAAATTACAGTTGCGTATAACGTATTATATTATCCTAAAAAAAAATCTGCGATATACGATGCGTTTGACGTAAAATTCGTCTCTCAGACTACTAGTTGTGACACAAGTGATACATCAGAGTTACATTTCCTAGGAGGGGGATCGCCGGCACCTCACCCATTCATCTGACTTCCGATACTTACTTAATACTTCTTGTGGCTCTAGTGTTCACGCCCTCTCGATAGTACTAATTACTCGTGCGTAATAAGTTTAAAGGATGCAGCTCCATGTATCGGCAGTAATAGAATTGTAAAAATCTGGTTTCGCGCGTAAAGTTATCTCACTGAACTATGCCATAAAATACTCAAATAAATACGAGTTAGCGAGAGCATAAAAACCCGTAAAGTGCGGCGAATCGATCGCCGGTCTCATTCCAAGCGGAGCATTTAATGGTGGCCATAAAAGACGACATTCGCCGATTAGCGATATAAAACTATAATAAATGAAGGAGTAATAAAATTCGCTCGATACGGACGATCCGGTGTTTACGCCGTTAATACAGAAATTATTTTATTTATTTATTTATTTTTTATTGATCCGTTCATTAGAAGGAATCGTTCATTGGGCGATAGCAGATTTATCTCGCGAGGGTAGTGTAACTCGTCGTAAAATTTGTTGTACTTTTAATGACACATACGCGTGTCGTACTTTCTAAAGTAATGTGTAAACGATAAACTTCATCGCACACAATTCGTATTTATCGGATATTTCTTTAAACGTCTGACATCGAATCGCTAACGAAGCTCCGCGCGAGTCACTAAATCGTTGAAATCGGCGATCCGAAACTTCTCCAATAAACATCGGGAGTTCGTGCAAAAACAGAATTTTATCGCGAATATGGTAATATAGGAGTTTAGCCATGTTCGACGTTCGCGAAATTGCTGATATAGTTGCACGCTTGAATACCGGCTTCGCGGAAGTGGCGCCCCCACCGCCTCCATCCCGAAAGCCTCCTTGCAGCTCGTTTCCGCTCTGAATATTTCATGAGCGCCCCTTTGAAGGGATACCGCCTACGAGTTATTACATTAATTATTATTTGGCTTATTTAACGGCGACTTTCGGTAAACACGAGCGAATAAAACTGAGTCTGAACAGCGTATACGTCACTTTCGGTCGGTACTAAGTATGACACGAGCGGTTGAAAAATTTTCATATTTTTTACTTAATGCTTTGTAATAAAACGTAGCATTTTCGTCCAGCGAAGTTATGATTACAAAATAAGTTCCCATACATACAGCGTTTCAAAGCAACATTGTAGAAATGAGTTCAATCAAAGCTATTTTTTGTTCGCTGGAATGTATGTACTGCCTGGTTATAATGTATGTAAATAACTTAATGGTTACTTTTCTTCCCTAATTGCAACTAAGTTAACAATGTTGTCTTGGAAGTTTCTCCAGACGGGCAAAAAGCCTTAATACAAAACAAATTAATTATTAACGATACACGCGATTCGTGACTAGAATGTAACGTCGTAAGCGCTAGGCGATAGGCATTTATCATAGACTTCCCACACATAGGCGCCGGCGCCGCCACCCGATTGGCGGACGATGCGCCAATCGCCACTTTAAGGAAAATTCAGAAAAAAACTGCATGTGCAGCTTGTATTGTAGACTTTAATTAATTATTGTGTTTAACAAGCTTTTTCACTTCTCTGTATGCTAACAGCTTTAGTCTTGGGTTCCGTCTAAGAATTTTCAAAACAGAACCCCTTTGGAGAGGCGTTGTCATGTGGTATCTTCGGCACGACAAACGAAGACGTTTTAGGAAGTCACATTGTTATAGTTGGACTTTAAATGATAAAACCACAATTTCATATGATATTGCTCTTAGTCTAGTCTTAAAACACCGATACTTCAAATTGATAGGAAGTAATTTTGTTCCTAGAACTAGACCGAATCATGTCGCGAATACCAAGTCTAGTATGCGGTGAGACATAGGAACTTCCCTTTCCTGTACAATCCTTACGTGACCGTAATTCGGAAGGCTCTCCCGCTACCTTACAAGCTATAAAAGCGGCGGTCCCCTGTGAAGTTTTCGTAAGCACCTTGCGCGTTTTTTCTATATACATAGACATTAGACTTCTGCGTTCACTCCGCCTAGTGTTG